AAAACAAGCACCTTATTTTTGTTCTCAATTTGTCAAGCTTCAATTTCCAGTTGTTTGTTCTTGATATTTATCTTCTGTAATTAAAAAGAAACCAAACAACAGCAAAACTACTACCAAGACTATTCTTATTTAATCACTAATAAGCTATTATCAGGTCATCTAGTTATCCTTGGACAAATTGACTAGACTGAGCTGTTCTGTTCTGTCATTCTATGAGTAATTTTCCATGCTATGATTCATTCTTACTTTCCTTTCCTGAGCCCTGCACAAATTTTTAACATCTTTGTTTTAAGTCTGGATATCAAGAATTGCACCCACTATTCTAGTAGTGGCCTCACTGGTGAGAATCACACGTGAAAATAACTACAAAATGCATTATTCAAATTCTATTGCCATAGGGGCCAGATAGTACCTAGCTACCATGATAGATATAAAAGCTGTAATAACATTCCATCCCAACCTTTTCTTTGGTTTTGGTTCCTGTGGTTCTCTGCACTCACCATGCCCATTTAGCTCTGAATTTTGGTTGTTCCAAAACTGTAAAGTGAAACTCATCTCAGCCCACAGTTCTTCCCTTTCTGCCCCCTGAATTTTGTGCTGAAACTATGCAAAAATGTGCATTTTTGTTATTTTTATTTAAACAGCAAAAATAGTTTGGCTCAACTGTACTGAAAACTGGGTCATGGCTTGTTCAAAATATTTGCAGCCCTTTCAAGGAACACTGGTTGTACTTCGGGCTTGTAAGGAACTCTGAATTCAACAGTTTTGGTGGCAGGTGAGAACATTGTCCTGAGTTAAATTAATTTGCCTTTAATGTTTCAAAATATTCTATTGTAAGATAACTCCTGTTCATTTTCTTTCAGCTAGTTAGTGATTGAAGTTAAAATATTTTTGTGTTCAGGTGTCACATTGAATTTAAATTAAGTTTACTGCATATGAGACTCTCTCCATAAGGAATTAAACTCAGGTCTGTTTTCCAATAAAACCTGTGCCTGTGATTTCATGCAAACACTGCCTTGTACAAGCTGGGCTCAGCATGGCTGGGCTGAGGGCTCTCAACAAAGTCACATTAGTTCAACCAGGCATCACGCACCAGCAGAGCAACAGTTACAGCATGGAGGATGTCCTCGGCTCAAAGCAAATATAAGGTCATCCAACAAGAATGTTCAGGCACCAGCTGAATCACAGAAGCTTTTTTAAGTCTTGGTAGCTGACTTAGTGTGTCCTCTCAGACAGTCAGTCATAAATTAATGAAACCTAGCTTAAGTGTCAAGGAAAAAGTAGGAGGAAGGTTATTAGGAGGAAGGTTGTATTTCCTTGCATGTGAAGGGGGCTAGCTAACAAGACAAACATAAAGTATCACAGAATTTCAGTCTGTCTATGGTGGCTTGATTGTCTATATGACAGTAATGCAGATTGCTGTTAAAGAGTATATCTCTTGTGATGTGTGTTTAATATCACAAAACTTCTGGTAAATGGACTCCAACTCATAGATTTTAACAAGGACTACAAATCTTTTTGGTAAAAATGGCTGAATTTCCAGCAAATACGGAGCAAACTTTTCTTTGGAGTGGAACTCTGTAAAGTGTGCCTATTTCAGCTTTTTTTCCTTTTGATTAGATGCAAACTACAGGTTAAATGAAAAAAAACCCCTATTCTTCAGCAACTGTTCAGTCTAGCTCTTAAAGCTGAATTAGTCTGGATTGATAGGAAGACTAGGTTTCATACTTTATCTCTAAATGCAAGTGGAAGTATTATATCAACTTTGTACTTCCATCATTTTCACTCTGAGCATGGGTGAGAGAACACCAGCTAAAATAAAATCGTCTATTCGTTTATGTTATTTCAATAAATAGATGGCAGGATGTTTACAGGAATTCAGTCTGTTCAAGGAGTGAAGAAATCAAACCTTAGGTATGTGCTTTGAGATGGTAGTAATAACCACAATTTCAGATTAGCACTGAGAGATTTTAAAAACTGCATTTAATTAATTAAATCTTTATGCCATGTCTTGAAATTGAAATACAAAGTACAACCCAAGAAGTATGGAGCTATTTGGCATGACTGTTGCAGAAGAGGCATGGAATCACAGGTTGCTGAATTTTTAACATGAAGAAACACAGAATTAAAACTCAGCAAGTTTTGAAAATCATTTCAAATTCTAGACCCATTCCAGCTCTTTGAAATACTTGGGAAGCCTTAAAGTAACTCAAGGTCTGTATTTTTGGAAAGCATGAATTTTGAGTAAACTCTGAGGACCAGACACCACATGATTCTGCTGTCATGAAGTCCCTGATGTGTTCCTGTGCAATGCAGTGCAGGGATTGAAGGGATTTGCAGTGCCAGGGTATCTGCTGGACCCAAACCAGTTGTTATCGACTTCCTTAAAAACAGTGCAGAACATGAAACCAAAGTCCTGTGTACATTTATTTTTTGTTACATTATTAAGAGTGTGGAAAAATTACAAGTCACTTGAGTTAACAATACTTAGGAAAAGCTTCAACAGGTGCCCTTAAGTCAGCATAAAGGTACATTTTCCCATGTAACTGCACCTCAGAATATAACACATCTTGAAGACAAACTAATGATGTATGGCATATTTGCAGGGATGCAGGAATTACTCATAATATTTACTAGAACGTTTTAAAGGTTGGCCACAATCCAGTTGGTAAAAACACTGAATATTTTTAAAGTTGTGATAGCAAACATACAAAATCTTTGGGTGTTCCAGAAAGCAGTCACTCCGCTTCAGCGAGCATAAGACATCGTTAGAGCTAAATAAAACATGTGCATGTGTTTCTCTGTTTCTCTTTCCTTACACCTTCAACTCAAACTGATATAAGTCATATTTTTCCTGGGTATCAGACAAAAGTCTTCTTCAACTCACTTTTGTAGCTAATTTTCTACTTCAAGTTGCTTCTTGAGCTCATATCTTGACCAGCTGTTTGTTTTCTTAAGTGTTCTTTTTGTTGAATCTCATCACTTTCATCAGATGATCACGTATTTTCCACTAGAGATTCATTGCTCATTATCAATCCACTTTGCTTCTTTGGTGTTTTGGCTTCTTTCTTTAGCATATTCAGGTATCAGTCACCGTCATCACTCAGTCCAGTGCTGTGTATGTGACACAGGTTAGTCCACCACTCCTATGAGTCCCAGCAGACATCTCCAAAAGAAGTCACCAGTCTGAAGTCCAGAAACATGGATCATCAGGTAAAGTTCATCAGGTAAAGGGATGTATATTATTAACATTTAATGAAGAGGTTTATTTGTTATATTCTTGGACTCCATGAGAAGGCTTTGTCAGCTCAAGAGTAACAAGCAAACCCTGCACAGATAAATGCCAAATTTTGGTCTATCCCTTGCAAACCAATACCATCATGCTTCAGGTAGCTCTCTTCATATCTGCTATAATACCTAAACAAAATGGGGTGAGTTGAGGACAGAGTTGCAGCCCTAACTCTGAATTTCCTGGCTTTTGTGGGCTTAAGTCATACCCTTAATGTTATTTGAAAGTATTTTTTTGTGGTTTAATATATACTATAACTTTTTCTTTTGTGACAACTGGATTTATACTGGCTTCATCCCTAATACCACTGGAAACTGGAAGCAGGTCATAGTGTGAGCCTGTCTTCCAAATATTTTAAACAGAAAGTCACCATTCGGCACTCATCGCTCTTGTTCTCCAATAAAAGTTCAGTGTTCCACTTCAATTAGAATGATACCTCTTATGTCAATACCACATCCAACTTGTAGACTATTTGTCCTCCTGAATGCTGAAGGTGAACAAATGAACAAAAATGTCCTTGTACTTTTCTGCTTTTACTCATATGAAAAGACCTGTGTTTAGTGGAAAAAAAATAAAAGGTATTTTTTTTTTCAGCAGAAATTCTTTTCTTGTCTTTTTTTAAATTTGATTTTCCTTGGTTGGTTCCATAATTATTCTATGGTCAAATATTTTTATGCTACAGATTGCATTCACATTGACCAAAATCTGCCTATCTCACCAGTAAGTACTACTAATATCTTCATATTAAAGCCATAGTCCTTGGTTGTCTGAGTAACATTACACCACATAATGGAGTAAGTCAGTGTGCAGTTGTTGATGTGAAGTCCTGCCTCCTAATGACTTCTTCAGGTCACAGAGCTGTAGTGTATTGCTGAAATACAAGCTTGTCATAAAGGCGTAATTCAGCATTTCAGTTTGAGAGGAGCAATTTTAGAACCTGCGATTTTCCAGCCTTTGTACCTTTGTTTTGCCAGGACAATACCATTAGGCTTATTTTCTACTTTGTGCAAAAATTGGTGGGATATAATTTGTGATGGTGGGCATTGTGATGAGTATATAATTTGGGGATGTGTCAGAATTTCACTCTTTTAAGGCCATCTTCCATTATTTTTTAATTTTATAAATTGAATAATCAAGCAATAATCATCACTGTCACATAAATGGAAGGCCAGATTGTCTTCCATTTCAAGAAGCTGAGGAGATGAAACAGTGTTAGCCTTATGCAAAATGGTCAAAATTTAGTTCTAGAAGACATTACCTCTGCCAGCCACTTTCTAAAGGGGATTGCTCAGAACATTGTGTAAGGTCTATACTTGCAGGAGAAATCCCTTTTACATAGATTTGTGTATCTGTTCAATGCTGTCTAATTTCATTACAGAGCACTTAAAAAAACCCTTCATTTTTACAGCTGTCTTAAGCATTTCCTTCATTAAACGAAACCCTTTCTTCCTCTGTTGTAGCTTTCACTTTGAAGAACATCTTTAATAAGGAGGAGAAAAAACACCTTTTTAGTCTTGAAAGTCAGTTGGGAAATTTTGACATTTGGCAGATTATTGTTAATTTTTTTGTAATCTTATTTGCCCCCAGTTTTTCTCACCTGTTACAAGATCCACACACTTATCCCTTATGTACTTTTCTCACAATGCAAAGAAGTCGAGCTGTTCTGGCTTTTTTTGTATGGGGGCATTTTAAATACACCTGGAGATTGTCATGGTGAACAACATGGCCTATTTATTCCACCTTCCATTTTGGTGGCTGGCAGAACTGAGAGCATAAAGGCTCTCGAAACCCAGGCTGAAGCAGTATTTTTCCAGTAATTGGTGTAAGCGCCATTAACTTAAGTTTTTCATCAGTATGGTTTTGCAGAAGCAACAAAAGTTCACAAGACTGTGAAATCTCATCAAAAACAGGGCAGTGTTCTGGTAAAGGGGACATCTTCCCAGATTTTCAAAATCAAAAAAATCTCATCAAAATGACAGTGGTGATATTGTGGCAGGTGAATAGTAGTAAGGTCATTGTCTTGCTGCATCCAGGGGGCAGATCATCTCTTTTTTCATCTTGTTTCCATTCTTTTGGGCTGGTCTCTAAGTAGCAAAAGGAGTTTGTTTGCTCCTGCAAAACACAGTACAGTACAGAGGAGTGTGTGTGTCTATGTATGGACGCACACAAGTGCACAAAACCACAGAGGTTAGTTTTAATTTACTTCAAAATGCGTAAGTGTATTTGGGAGATGGAAACTAAGAGAATTCATAATAAGACTGAATGTAGTCCAGGAACCTTGTAAGATTTGAGACTAGAAAGCAGTTTTCCAATCTTTCATGTATGGAAATACCAGATGAGTCAATGGGTGTTCTCTGAGCTAGGAGCTTCCAGGGCTTCTCTCTCCATGTCAGCAGCATCGCCTTATAACTTGTTTTTAAAGACCACCCAGTATCCACAGCCACCTCTGATTTAACTGGAGCTTTGGGTGCTCAGTGTCCCTGGAACTGGGCTTATATCTGCCCTGGTGCTTCTGGAAAGGCAGTCACACAAAAACAGTTTAGAGAAATTAACATCTGGCATTCAGGATAATGTAAGACTTGCTAAAGGTGACAATTCTTGGTAAAAAATTAAACTAGAGATTTTAAAACAAACAAACCCCCTCCCACCCTTCCCCCCCCCAAGAAAACCCTAAAACAAACAAACAAAAACAAAACAAAAATCAAACAAAGGAAAGAAAACCTGACTTAATTATTGTGTAATAAGAATGTGCTTTTAAAATGCTTTTGGCTACAAACAGTTTGGAGCAACCAACTGCAATCTATTAAATTTCAGCTCACAGGGATTTTACTTTTTCCTCAACCTTTTCTGGTATATTATATAAGTATTTTTAGGAAATTTACAGTTCTAATTGAGTTAAAAAGAAATATCTAGTTTTATAAGGAGAAACCAATTAATATCCAGCTTTTAAGGTAGGCTTTTGAAACTAAGGAGATTTTTCACTATTGATTGATGGGTATGTTCTATATTATTTTTTTTTTCCTCTGGGACTTATTTAATTTTAACTTTACGGTAAAATCCAGCCTGATTTATGCAAGTGTCATTATGTAGAATGCTGGCATTTTTATTACATTTCTTTCTTTGGGATGAATAAAGTAAGCCTAAGTTCCCTTAGGGAGTATGTCTATCTAGAATAAGATGTTTTTCAATATCTATCTTATATGGGAGAGATTTTTACATGTAATCATTCATGAAGGGTGAAAGTATAAGTAACATAGGCAATATTTAAATGCTAAATAGGTACTTATAATTACAGTAATTCTTTATCCACATATACCTTTCAACAGTTCCAATGAGAATTGAAACCTGCTCATCTCAATGGTCATGGAAATAACAAGTTTTACAAATGAATGAAAAAAATAGGCTATGTTGTTTGGGTAATCTGTTTTGGAAGCAAGGAAGCAATGAAATCCAATGACTAAATCCTTCTTTCATAGATTTGCAGAGGCACTCCATTATCAGCTACTCGACTTTTGTAGGGTTTATTAAATATTTTACGGAGAAGTCCCATTTCACATGGTATCAGGCTCTGTTAGGATGGTGGTTCTTGTATCTAGGAATAGATGTGTGCTTAATGGCTTCTTGGAAGCTCATTAAAGACAATTAGTGCTTGCTTTGGAGCTGTGATGATTTCAAATCTTTTTAGAAGATTCATCTAGTATCCCTACTTTCCCCACCATTCTTTTTTCTTTTTTTTTGTTTGACTATGCCAGATATAAACAGCTGAATTATTTGTGATATGAAATTGATGAAATGATTTTTATCAAAGTTGCCATGAAAACAATTTTGAGTGGTGTCAGAAGAGATGGGGATGTAGGGGAGAAGGCTGGGCCTTTCCTTAACTTGAGGAAAAAGTTGTCTTCAGGTAACAAGTCTGAGTTGACAGGATCAGAGAGAGAGAAAGGAGCTGCTTGGTGAACCAAATATCAATAGTCCAGTACATGGGTCAGGGGGTAGTAGGAACAAGAGGTAGATGTAGCCTGGGAACTGATTTTGGTACCTGATTCAGAACAAAACAATTTTCAGTTTGGGCCTTGTCACAAACTGATGGAAGAATTAAAAGAAAATGTAAGTGTTGGGCAGGGCAAAATTACTTGGAAGCATCTCTGCCTACCTATTTTGCCAGGAGAATACCATTGGTTTTGGTTTCCATTTCATGCAAGAATTGATAGGATATAATTTGCAATGATGGGCATTATGCTGAGTATATAATTTGGGGATAGGTTAGAATTTGCCTCTTTTAAGGCAGTCTGCAGTTATTGTTTGATAAATTGGATAATTAAGCAATAATCATCACTATCACATAAATGGAAGGCTGGATTTCCCTCACTTCAAGAAGCTGAAAAGCTGAAAGAGTGGTAGCCAGATGGAGAACGGTCAAAACTCATCTGTCCTATGTCTTCCACTTGAAAACAAAAGAAATATATTCTTGAGTTTAAGAAATAACTAAGTAACTTAGTGCTTACACAGAACTCTTTTGATTTCAGGTGAGATGCTCTGAATAACAGAAATAATGAACCTTAAGCCTTCAACCTTCCCATTTGTTTTTATGGAGAAAAATTCAGACTAAGGTAAGTATGATACAGAATCTATGAACAATCATGAATCAACACCCTACACAGCATTCCAAGTTCATATTTTCTGGGAAAAAAAAATCTTAAATGTATACTATAATAAATTAGCAATACTACTGTAATTAACTATATTGATAAATTTTACTAAAATTCTTCTAGTAGTGAAGCTATTCTAAAATTAGGCTTTGTCTTGTAGTTCATGGAGCTTTATATACTGAAGAATGAATCAAAAAATACTGCTTTGTGTTTATTTGAAAGCAGGACTTTTGAAGAGCATCATACTAATTCTGGAAAGCTTAGCAAATATTTCTGAGATTTCCAGGAACTATCTTCCTGCGTAAAAAAGGTGGTAAAGGAACATTTTCTACTGGTACTAAGGTTACTGGGGAAAGTTCATGGACTCGGGGAGGTTTTTGGGGTGATTAACCTCAGGTGCCAAGGCTGATCCACAGTATTTTTTCCTCTGAGAAATAAATCATTCTGATCTGATAAAAGAGGTACAGCAGATTGCTCTTACAACAAATATGTTCTTACAACTGTCTGTACCAACACTTGTGGATGCAATATTGTATATTCCAATATAGGACAAGCCTCTGTATTAAACAAAGGGATGGGTGGAAAGGCCTGAATTTAAAAAGGCTCTCCAATACTTCTTTCTGGGCTCCTCATGCAGAAAATCATTGGCTGCCAGGTAAACTAGATCTGGACAGATAATCTTCATTGCTTCATGAATTGTTGTCTCTAAAGCTTTTATTGTTCTGTGCAGATGATTAATGCATTTACAGATGACTCTGCACTTACTAGTCCTGATGTTCTCCCAGAGAAAGCGCGAATAAAAGTTCCTCCATGAAGTTTAGGCTTGAATAGATCTTCTCAAAGACCCACTGGCTCAATCTCTTCCTAGGTAGAGGGAAAATAAATGTCTTATTATCAAAATATTGTGTCATTTCAAGGTTTTAAGACTTAACTAGGACCATTGAAAAAGACACATTGGATTAGAGGAGCAATAAACACAGAAACTGTAACAGAGACCCTCTGGGACACGCTAGTCTGTGAGAATTTTGTGAAGAGGAAAGATAAAAGAAAGGTTAGATAGGTGTTCAGTGTGCTGAATGCCTCTCACTTTTTTTTATAGAATAATATAACTGAACTGTGCTAAACTCAATTTAAAATTTTACTTTGTTTGACCTTTTCCAGCATAATGACACAGTTGCAATGGTAGGACACCGGAGACATGCAGTGACAGTGACTAAATAAAAAAACCATTAAGAGAAACCATGTATATTTTTGCCTAGCAGAGAACAAAAACATTGTTTTCCTGAAAGCCACACGAATTTGCTTTCCAGGTGTTAAAAAAGGGCATTGGACATCTATTGAAAAGAACTGGAGGAGAGAGCTGGGTTTTAGTAGTTGTCCTTTAGTAGTTGTCCTCCTTATTATAATAAGTATGATCCTTTGGACAGTGATCATACTTATTATAATATCTCCATATAAATTTTATATGAAAATAAACATTGAATTTGCAAAATGGTCCCAGACTTAAATAGCATTAAGGTCACACTCCAAGTGGATATTTTAAAATGTGCTTCACTTTACTGACTTTAATTACTGTCCCTCTCTACCTATTTTCAGATGTTACCTCAAATCTGATATGGATAAATGAAAACTTAATCTTTTCCCTGTTAATCCCTTTTGCCTTCTTTTTAATCACTGTGAATAATGCTAATCTGTTTACTCAGCCCCAGAACCCAGGCACAACCTTTGGTTTGGGCTTGAGTCCAAACCTTCACATCCAGGCTCTGCATGTGTCTTTGCCATCTGAGACCTCTGTTCTGGGCTGGAATAAATCTGCCTCTTTTAATGAATATACCCTAACTATATATATACAGCAAAAGCAAGCAGTTTAGATCAGATAAATTTTTAGCAGGCCACAGTTGGATAAAGTGAATTCCTAGATGAAATGATGTGGGCCTGGATCAAGGATTTAGCAACATGTAAGAACAGAAAAGGTGGAATATGAAAGATGATCTGGAGAAGGAACTTTAAGGCATAGCATCATTTTGAGACATCTAGGCAAAAGTGTTGTTTTTATTCTCTCTAGAGTTAATAAGATCTGCTTCTTTCTATTTTATTTTATTTTTAATTTCTGAAGAAAGGTGGATCCCTGACATTTGTTCTCTTTAAAACAAGAATTAAGATACACGTGTTGGAAGAATTTACTGAAGTCACCCAAAGTGTAAGTATTCAAAAACCAATGGGCTTTGAAGATGGCATTGAAAAGCACAGTTTTTACACCAGACAAGGAATAGGTGCAATAAATTAAACCTGAGCCAAAGGATTCTGTTAACTTTTGCTGGTGGAGGCAGTGGGCTGATTGTGACAGCTGATATTCTCTTCAGCCCCCAAAGACTTGAAGCTGTAAGAGTAGGCTACCACCTGGGAAGATTATGCTATCTTCATGGCCCAGAATGCAGGCTGATATTCCTATGATTTGGGGAATTGCTTTTGAATCAACTCTGCTAAGCACCTGGGCAATCCCTTCCTTTTCTCGACACTTGAAGTGAATGGCCTGTCAAGGAAAATACTTAATTTTCTAAAATTATTTTCTAAAATTTTTTCTAAAATATGAAGCCATTTGGTATATAAACTGTATGGATTTTTTCTTGTTTCATGTCTATGGCAAGCCTAAATCTGTGTTTGATCAATGGAGAAGGAGGAAGGCCTTTTTTTCTCCTGTTTTGTATTTAAAATGTTCTCTTACATTCCTGTGTGAAAAAACCAGAGCTTTTAATAATAAGTTTTTCTTTTTTTGTTTCTTTGGGTTGGTTGGGTTTTTTTGTTTGTTTTGGTTTTTTGGTTGGGTTTTTTTTTTTTTGTTGGGTTTGGTTTTTAGGTTGGGTTTTTTTTTTGGTTTTTCTTTTGTTTTTGATAAATTATAAAAATGGAAGCTTATTTTTAAGCAGAAAATAATTTTTTTTTTTTGTTTGCTTATATGGACTCCAATTGCAACTGAAACAGATTTTTATTTATTTGAAGAGGGCTATGAATGTTCATAAAATAGATATTTAGATTACCTGAATGAGTACCATTTTTTAAGGCAGACAAGGCACATAAATTTATTCCATATTTCCAGACTTTTCTACTTTTCTGGCAATTTAAAGCACATAATTCTCACCTGCATTTTTCTAGCCTTCATTACACATCAAAAGCCTAACAAACACTACATGAAATCTATTTTATTTTTTTTTTATTTTTGAATGACTATTCCAGCAAGCTTTGTTGTCCAGATATCCAAAATCTCTGTATGGTATTCACTGCTGAGGATAACCCGATCTCAGGAAGACTGAAGGTAAAAGATTTCATGGCCATTATTTAAGTAAAATTACCACCTAAGTGAAATGGGAAAACATCACATGACAACAAAAAAAAACCTGTCTCATTAAAAGATGTCTTAAGCCCAAATGAAATAAGAATATCATGGAATCTAGTTTAAAATTGATGTGAAAAATTGGAAGAAATTTGCAAGAAACTTTTCCATTTTGTTTTAAGAAAATGAATGGCTATGTTCCCATTCCTGTGGAAAATTTTGGAGGTACCTCACATAATTTATAATTGATTTTCCACTAAACTGTTGAAGAATCATTTTTGCTTCTGTTACTAAAGTGCAGCACCAGCAAAAAAACCTGCAGAACATCTTGGCAAATTCTTTAGAAATTACTTCTACCTCAAAAACCTGAAAGTATGATTTTTTTAGTTTGTTTTTAGGGCTTCTTGGTTTTTTTTGTATTAGAAAAAGAAAATACTGTAAATGTGTTGAATACATTAGTTCCATAATGCATTCCTATTCAGTAGGCTCATAGTACTGTAGTTCATTTCAGCTGAACATTTCAAATGACACTTTAAGGTAAATCTTATAGATTTTAGATTTGAAATTTCATAATTCCTTTTTAGAGTGCTTGGATCTAATCTGTGACTTAAAAGCCATACTTGAGCAAGTGTCAGACTTGAGCTTGGTTTACTCTTTCCTAGATTTCCTAGATTTCTGAGAGTCTGGGTATTAGGAGCTTTAAATAATCACCTCATGAGTTTTATTACTCTATAATAAGTCTCTCAGCTTTGACTTGCTCCTGAGTTTTCTCTAGCAACAAAAATGCTTTATTATCTGGAGAGCAACTTAAAGAACTCAGGAATCTAATTTAGTGTGTGAGAACTTTGCCCAGAACTTGAATGCGATACAAAGAGCCATTAGAATCAACCTTAATTGAGAAGTTCACTAGAAATCAAGGAGAAATTTATCCCTTCACCTGAAGTACAGTTTTATCTGCACTGTTTTGGTGTCTCCTGTTTGATACAGACAGAGCTGAGATGTACATTTTTCATGCTCATTATTGTAGTCATGCTGCAGAGGATGAAGTCTTCAGCTGAAGGTGAAGGTTCTTTGGAATTAAATACACATTTTACTGCTGATGTCAGGGATTACTAGCATTTTGCCCTTAGTTTCCATAAAAATCAACCTGGAATCATTCCCCATTGTCATGGTTTAGCCCCAGCCAGCAGCCAAGCCCCACGCAGCCCCGTGCTCACTCCCCCACCAGTGGGATCAGGGAGAGAATTGGAAGGGTGAAAGCTGGAAAACTCGTGGGTGGAGTTATAGACAGTTTAACAGGGAAAGCAAAAGCCGTGCACACAAAGTAAAGAATCAAATCATCTCTTCCCATGAGCAGCCAGGAGTTGAGCCTTCTCCAGGAGAACAGGGGCCTATCACATCCAAGGATGACTTGGGAAGACAAATGCCATCACTCCAAACATCCCCCACCCTTCCTCCCTGCACTCTGCACACTGAGCATGATGTCATACAGTCTGGAACGTTCCTTCGGTCAGTTTGGGTCACCTGTCCTGGCTGTGTCTCCTCCCAACCTCCCATGCACCCCCAAGTTCCTCATCGGCCTCATGAAAAGCAGCAAAAGCTTTGGCTCTGTGTAAGCCCTGCTCAGCAATAGCAAAAACACCTCTACACCATCAACCCTGTGTTCAGCACAAATACAAAATATCAACCACAATGAAGAAAAATAACTGTACGCCAGTCAAAACCAGCACACCAATCCACTACACTGATTTTTCAGTCCTATCTCTGTAGCACCTTTTGCAAAATTACTTACACAGTTGATTGTAGGGAAGCTAAATGAAAGGGTTTCACGCGTTCTCTCAAGCAACTTTTTATTTCCTAGACCTCTTGAGAATATATTATATTTTAGCTGTGGTTCTGGTTTTTAGTTCTGGTCATATCACTGATAGGAGAAAGTGTGTGTAAGATTAGTTTCACTGTCAGTGCTCATATCTATACATTTCACTTGACAGTGGTGAAATTTACAGAGACTCTTCGAAAAATATTTCTGCCAGTATTTTCTGTTGCTACAGAACCATCATATAGCTTGAAAAGTACTGCTTAGGAGACAGGTGCATACCTTTGTTTGCCATTTCCTAACATCTAATGTTAGATCATGCATATTAAATTTCTAAACTTTAGTTTTAATCAAGCTCATTTTCAAAGTGCCCATTTTTACCTGTTTCTGGATACACAGCCAAGACTGGATATTAATAAGTTTATTTACTTGAAAACCTTCAAATAAATGCTAGAATATTAACTGAAAATTCTGAACTGAAATACTATTTACCTGACAATATTGTTACCATATGAGGTTCAAGTCAGTCTTGACTACTTTCTACACCTGTTTTATGCCTTCAAATTAGAGCCTGTTCTGCACTTCAAGGAGGGTATTTCTAGTTTAGATATATTTTATAATTAATAAATTGATTCCTGTCTTTGACTTGATTATGCAGTGACTGATACTGGAAATTAAAATTAAACAAAAAATCCTAATTGATCATTGACATAGAATTTAGGGGTTTTTTCCCTTGCAATGTATATCTGGGGGTTTTGGGTTTTTCTCTTTTTTGTGATGATTGATCATTTCTAAAGCTCTAAACACACATATATATATAATTCAGATCAAATGAGCTTCACCTTATTTAAGATAATACCTATCTTTATCTAGCTAGAGGGAAAGCATGAAATCTGACTTCAGGTTAGCAATGTATTATTGTATTATTTCAGGTTTCAAAATAATTGTCATGCACTCTCTGTAATCAGAATTAATGACTCAAGGCTTCTTTGCTCAGATATTTTTGTTATGGTGGACTTTGGCTGTGAATGATCTCATGCTGGTATTTAAAAGTGTGACGGGACTTTATTTCTTGAAATGACGTTAGAAGTTTTTTTGATTTATGTGACTTATTTGTAATTCTTTAGGATGCTAATTCTAATTCTTTAAATTTTTTGAGCTGACAGGCTGGATGGATACCATAAAAAGGAGTCCTTTTTATTTATTAATTGTTTAATTTGGTAATAATAAAATGCCACTTCATAATTAAATTGATCTGTAAGCTCACAAAGACAAAACTGTCGAGGAAATTAATGGAAAAAGAACTCTCATCCCTTCCTCCTCTACTTAAAAAACAAATTATATCAATTTTCAAGCTAACATATCTCAAGGGAAAATTACTGTGTAACTTCTTACTCTCAAAACTGCTCTTCAGTCAGATAGAAAATAATGGCCACAGATTTACTCCATAGATCATGAAGAGTACTTCAATGCATGGAAAAATAAGAGGACACATCTACTTTTTTATCAGCTGAGTATTAACCTTATTTTCACAATTTTATGAGTTCCTTTTAATTACTGTGAATTTAGATTTGTTCAAGTGAGGTGACTGAGATTTAAGTTCCTCTGTGTAACTTGTTCAGGTTTTGTTTCTTTTTTTTTTTTTTTTTTTTTTTTAAAGAGATGCTTTTAGAACAGGAATTGTATGCTGGAAGACACTTCTGATTCAGATAAGCACACAGGTTTGGAGTAGGAGAATGCAAATACATATAGGACTTAAGAGTGTATGATGAGATCCTCAGCTGTTTTAAATATGTCTTTGAACAGATTCAAATGGATGAAAATAGTCCTGGATGTAAACGTGTTGATATAAACTAATCTACCTTTTTTTTTTTAATTAAGTAATTTGATAAATGCAAAAGAAATTGTAAATACTCCAGACTAAGTTATCTTCCCTTCTTATGTCTCATATTTTCATCTGCTGTGACGTCTCTAAGGCATACAAATTCATTCTGATTAAATTTTTTTTTTCTTTCTTTCTTTTCATTCTAATTTCACCTTGCCTTTCACCTCTATTACTCTTTTGCATTACAGAATCTGCAAACACAATCTCTGGTTTTGGATCCAGTGATTCTCTTTGACCCAAATTTTTACCCAAGGTGTTACAAACAGTAAGATACAATAAATATCAAATAATACAATATTCAATTCCGCACCATGATTTGAAAAGTGAAAGAAAATTATTAGTGTTTTGTACAGCATGAAAGAAATTGTCACTTAGTCACATGCTGCAGAAATTTATACAGATAGCTGAAGCTCTTTTCACATGTTAGCAGTTCTGTATGCAAGAAAATTCTGACATTTTCCATTATAAAGTGATTTTTTTTTAAAAGTGCTTTTAGCTTTGCTAGAATTAACCTGCTGGCGTTGAAATTTCCTTGTCTGACCAGAGCTGGTTTTATTTGTTTTAAGTTTCAGTTTGGCGGAAGATAAGTTTTATACATCATCTTACACTTGTTGCCATGACAATAATGATCATGAGAATAGTCTTTGGAGCAGGGACTTGCTATGTGACAGAAGGATGTTTTGAGTTTTAGGAATGGACCATTTACTTGCCCTTGAAAATTTGTTCAGTTTTGGCTAACTCATAATTATTTGAATAGTCTTAACTTATACATCCTCAGTAGAGTTTTGTTAACAAATTTTCACACACATTTTATGACTATTCCCTACATCTAAGGCACACTTAGTTTTCTCAGACAGCAGATGGGCAATTTATACTGCTTGAAACATCTTCAGCCTCACTGAGGAAATACCTGTTTTCATTGTTTTCAGGTCACTGCATGAAGAACATCCACACCATGCAAAATTTTACTGTTTTCCAGGCTGGCTTGCAATGACTGGTGTCATAGATGGGTGACACAATGGTTGGATCTCACAATAAAGGGATGAATATTATGTGTATGTTAAGAGACGTTCCATTGATGTACAGTAATGTTATTGTGATTTGTTGTTTAGGCATCCCCTGTTCTCTCCGTAGTCCCCTTTCCCCGTATGGTTGCCAAGGGATGGCCTTGCTGGTCGGGACATGTGGCTGGAGGGCGCGAACCTGCGCCCTTCCTTACACGGGGCAGCTGGGAACGGGGATGGCTTGTTGCTAGGGGGCGTGGCATGGCAACACCTGACCTCCAATCAAGTTGCAGGAAAGCAGCTTCCACCAATGGATGGTGAAGAAGAGTTGATTGACAGACTGTGGGAGGGGCAAATCCCCCCTTTGGGAGGCAATTCCCAGAGATATAAAAGGTGGAGCGGCCATTTTGTGGGTGAGCACATGTGGGGGTATAATTCAATGTTCCCAGCTCTGTAATTTTGCCTTATTTATTCCTTTGTTGTATTTTGTTAAGGTTTAATAAACCTTTGAAATTTTTAAAGTGAGCGGTTGTTTCTCACACCGGCGTGTCTGTGTTGCACAGAGAAAGCACAGTTATTCTTCCCTCTACGTAGTGCTGACCTGCACGGCTTCTGATCCTGGTGTAGCTAGATAGTTTAGGCATCTGCATTTTCCTCCCTCACCTGCTGTAATTACATCCACTGCCTATCTGTACTCACTGTTATGAATGCAAAGAGAGTAGAGGCTAAGGCTGATCCGCCCCCCTAGCGAGTGTAGCTTTAAGCAATTTGCTTTAGCAAATCAGACTTTTCACCAAGGTCTTAGAGATGGTACAAGGGGCAGTGGTTTTAAAGTGATAGATTTAACCTGGACATAAGGAATTTTTTACTATTACAATTGCAATTTTACAGTTGCAGTGAGACACTGGAACAGGTTGCCCAGAGGAGTTTGTGGGTGGCCCATCAATGGAAGTGTTGAAGGTCAGGTTGAATGAGGCTTTGAGCAAATTGATAGTGAAAGATGTCCTCAGGGGGAATGAACTAGATGATTTTTAAAGGTCATTTCCAAATCTCACTTTCTCAGTTTTTTCTCCTGCCATTTATTGCATTAACTCAAGTTGTAAATTACTGTGTTTTGTTTCTAAAAGTTGTGATTCAAATGAGGGGCAAATAGCTACTTCAGGTCAGACTTCTATGATACAAGATAAATTTCAGGCAATTACACTAAAATTACAGCAAGGGTGTTATAATTGAAAAGTCAAACACTTAAAAACTGTGCCAAAATTGGAGATACTTGTTCTTTTTCAAGTAGAGCTATATGACTACATTACAATGGTACTTTTAACTGTGTTTTTGAATGCTAAACACTTTTCTTTGCTCCACTGATGAGGCAAAGTTGTTAATGAATGGTAGATTAAATGCGGGATATTTTGGCTGTGGGACAAGATGGATTAAAAATGTCAGAAAGCAACAAGTGAGAAAACAAGAGAAGAGGGGCATCTCTCTATCTTCATTTCACTGGCAGACAGCAAGGGTTAAAGAGGTGTGAGGGAAGGGAAGCTGGATAAAGCTAATATTGGTTTTCCATGACTTTGTCTAAGACAACTGCGCTAACCCATCTGATTGTTCCATGTGGGTCAGAAAGGTAACAAACCTCAAACAGGAAGCCTTTTACCCCTACTGGAACAAGAGCTTCTCTCCTTCTGTTCCCATTTTTTTTAATTTTTTTTATTTTCTACTTTAGTGAAATGATTAATACATTCTGTGTTTATGCTTTTGGCTGAAGCACCTATTCCTAGAGTAGCTACGCCCTTCCAGCCTAATGATGGGCCATTAACACCCCATGGTTTGCATACCCTGCCTTAAAGGTCCTCACAGCTGGACCTCCTCAGTCCCGGCAACTGCCTCCATCCTCCCACTCAGTGCATTCAGGAGCCAAGCTCTCCACATGCCTATTCCCCTGCAAAGTCAGAAAGGGACCACTATTCAACAACCCATGGACCAGGCATGTCGCTTTAAGCTACAGCCAAAAATCTGAGTGGGAGGAACACCTGCAGCTGAACAGAAATGTGTCAGCAAAAGTGTTCAAACAACAAATTTTTATTCCCTGAGAGGGCAAACATAACCCATAAGTTGTAAGACAAAGAGGGAGAGAGTTTTGCGGGGAGTGTAAGTGAATAGGAAATAGAAAAGGGATCAGGGTAGCAAATATGCCCACCTCTCAGATATTCCTTAGTAAGATAGCTTGGTCCACTAAGGACTAAAACCCTCAAAATGACAGTGTAGCAATTCTTACACACCAGGATTGTTGAGAGGGCTAGAAAGGCCTCAGCAGATGCCCTGCTGTGCAAATCCTGCTGACATGCCTTACTTCCCTGGGCCTATTTGGAAGCATAAGGGCTGTTTCTGAGTACAGAGGATAAAGTGAGCCCCCACCTGGACTACTGTGAACCGTTCAGGTCTTCCCAACAAAAGACGGACATGGAACTGTTGGAGCAATTCCAGAGGAGGGCCATGAAGTTGATAAGGGGACTGGACCATTTTTATTCCTAAGACAAGCTAAGAAAACTGGGTCTGCTCAGATTGGAGAAGATTGCATGGAGGCCTCACAGCAACATTTCAGTATCCTAAGTGGGACTACTGGGAAGTCAGAGAGAGAATCTCTTTGTATTGGTAAGACAAAGAGTAACAGGTACAAACTGAAAGAGGGGAAATTTAACTTAGATATTTGGAAGAAATTCTTTACTATGAGGATGGTTAGCCTCTGGAACAGGCTGCCTGGGGAGGAGATGACTGCCCCAACCCTGGCAGTGTTCCAAGCCAGGTTGGATGAGGCATTGACAGCCTGGTCTAGTGGGAGATATCCCTGCCCATGGCAGTGAGGTTTGGGACTAGAGGATCTTTAGGGGCCATTCCAACCCCTTAAGGTTCTATGACCTGATCCCATTTCAGGATTCAGCTGATGTTTCTTCTCTGGTGTCTCCTGCAGCTGGCCAACACGTAGTGGCCAGAGGAGCAGGATTTTGGAGGAAGACCAAAAGTGTCATAGAGGCTACTGTTTACACAATTACTCCAGCCCTTCCTGCTCTCAAGGAATCACCAATTCTCTCAGGCCCAGTAGCTGTTGTACAACCAGCCACAAGGATTCTACTGGGGAATCCTCCTGTGGGAGGAATGTTTGGACCTCTCCCAATGCAGGCTGACAGATGTCATGTCTTTGAAGGCTTAGGGGACCTCCTGAAGTTTCATTGGAGAAACTTCCTCTTGACACTAGGGAAAACAGTATTTTAAAACGTGATGAAGGTAAAGAGAGAATAATTAAAAGAGTGAATACAAGGACAAAAATATCAAGGTCAGGTGAAAAAAGATGGGATATTGAGGCAGCAGAAAGGTTGGATAGATGAAGTCCAGTTGCACAGTCTTGAGAGCTAGTGTACAATAGCCACATAAAGACCTGGACAAATTTTGTCATTTTATATTGTATGAGAATTGATCCAGGGTTTTAGATATCAACAGTACCAGGATATTGTGTTATTGTTTTTTTCTTTGGTACAGCCTGGAAGACTTCACAAAAATGCATTCACCTCATCAACAGTTGTGCTGCACTGGTAGGTTGGCTTCACAATCTGAACTGATACCTGGTAAGCAAAGTTAAGTGGGGTATTTGCTTTAAATGCCAGAACAGAACTCTGATTTAGATTCATACATGTTACTCCTCTGTCTGTCTACAAGGCCTGTTGATTGACCTATTTTACTACCAGTGTTTGTCTGCTTTTCCAGGTGGATGTTGCTTAGTATATTGAAACTTTTACATTTTTTAAGAGGCAAGGATGGAAGGAAACAGAACATCTTAACGGATTGGTTAATGAAAAATATCTATGCTTATATTATGTCATTATTTGAGTTGGTACTTCATTCTTTGCCTCAGTTTATTGTTTCAAAATTCAAACTAGCTGTCTTTGACTACTATATAATACTAAGCTGTGAATTTCAGATATTTATTTTAATGAAGCTATTTTTCATCAGTGCCTTTGTAAGGGTTATATGTCTGTTTGGCTTATCTCTGTAACAATCAATGAGATTGTTTCTGGTCATTTTATTTTTCATTTGATTTTGTCTTCTAAGGCGAAGTCAGTAATTCTTTTATTTTCACTGTTCAGGTGTCTGCAGTTCACATTTTCATCTGAGATAACCTTTAAAATAGTCAATATTTTTCCTTAGTAAATTTATTTTTTTTTATTCAGAATGATGAAGATTAACTACCAGATTCTCTCAATGACAATGCTGTCAGTTTTCCAATCTTCTTTAATTTTTCTATTTAACTACCCTTTAATATTTGCCAGAAAATTATGCTAATGGTTTAGAGGTTTCTTCAGCTAGTTGATGTAAGACTCTTGAACCTAAGATATCTGAGTTTGTAAATGTTTAGTTGTCACAAAGACTGTCACGTCCTCCTTTGTGTTATGCATGGCTAATTATTTGATCTATCAGTAATGCATTCAGAAGTAGCTACACAGCTCATTTCCTTCCAACTTCCACTGAAATATCTACTGGACATTTCTGCTTTTCCTTGATCCTACTTCACTATGCCACTGTCTGAACCTAGCTATTCATTTGAAATTAATTCTCTGAATTTATTCTTTCTGGAATAATTTTAATTGCCTTATTATTTAAAATTTGTTGATTCAGTAAAACCTCATTCATTCAAGTTACTAATCTCATTACCCATTTACTTCTATTTGGTTTTTTATAGTAATTTCACTGTTCTTTTTAATTCCCTCTCCATGTATACATGCAAATACATACATGTACTATATGCTTGTTTATGTATATAGATGTAAATACAAAATTTATGTGATTGCTTTCACCAAGAAGAACTTCTTCACTCAAGTATATTTTTTTGATCCTGAGGGATCATGGCTTCTTGGGCATCCAGCAAGGTGCTCCTGAAAAATTCCCAGTTGTTTTAACACTTCTTCATTTAAATGGATTTTCCCAACTCTAAATTCAGCTCTTCCTCTCAGTTTCAAAAACCTGCAGGTTTGAAAAGATCCAGAAGGAGATATTTCAGGTTGGTGACATATCCTGTTTGCATTAAATAAATCAAACCTCATTTCATTGGGCAATTTTTCAATTTTTCAATTTTTGTAAAAGCCATTAACTGTTCCTTATTTATCATAATGAGGTCCATTATGGTGAGTAATTGATAATGGACGTTACTGAGTTACTTGATATCCCATGCAGGATTTCTGTGTTAAGAAAAAAAAAAATCCATTACTTCTACAAACTTCTGAAGTCTACACTGGCTATGTAGACTGAGAAAATGATCTCCAGGATGAAAGTCACTTTAGGTAACAGAATTTTCTTTTCTGCTTTTAACAACCAGATTTTTTGAGGGGAAGCTCCTCTACTTTTGTGAAATGTGGTGGTCCATTTAAGAGACCTTCTAGTTTGATT